TTGTAAAGGGAAATCGTGTCTTACACGATTTCCCTTTACAAAGTTTAACAAAGGCAAATGCAAAGTGCTCCACTTAGGAAGGAAAAATCAATTTCACACATACAGAATGGGAAAAGACTGTCTAGGTAGGAGCACGGCGGAAAGGGTTCTAGGGGGTGCAGAGTGACACAAGCTAAATATGAGTCAACAGTGTGATGCTGTTGCAAAAAAAGCAAACATGATTCTGGGATGCATTAACAGGTGTGTTGTGAGCAAGACACGAGAAGTCATTCTTCCGCTCTACTCTGCTCTGGTTAGGCCTCAGCTGGAGTATTGTGTCCAGTTCTGGGCGCCACATTTTAAAAAAGATGTGGAGAAATTGGAAAGGGTCCAAAGAAGAGCAACAAGAATGATTAAAGGTCTTGAGAACATGACCTATGAAGGAAGGCTGAAAGAATTGGGTTTGTTTAGTTTGGAAAAGAGAAGACTGAGAGGGGACATGATAGCAGTTTACAGGTATCTAAAAGGGTGTCATAAGGAGGAGGGAGAGAACTTGTTCACCTTAGCCTCTAAGGATAGAACCAGAAACAATGGGTTTAAACTGCAGCAAGGGAGGTCTAGGTTGGACATTAGGAAAAAGTTCCTAACTGTCAGGGTGGTTAAACACTGGAACAAATTGCCTAGGGAGGTTGTGGAATCTCCGTCTCTGGAGATATTTAAGAGTAGGTTAGATAAATGTCTATCAGGCATGGTCTAGACAGTATTTGGTCCTGCCATGCGGGCAGGGGACTGGACTCGATGACCTCTCGAGGTCCCTTCCAGTCCTATAATCTATGAATCTATGAATGAATGTTTTTCAAAAATCTGGCTGCTTCGTATAGATGCCTAACTGGGAGCTGAACACTTTAAAATCTGGCCCTAAAATATATTTATGCCTCTAATTTTTTTTTTTTTAGGAAGATAGATAGAAACAAATGGGTCCAAATATGCCTCCTCTCTTACCCATACTGGTCTCTTGCCTTCCACCAGTGAGGGTCATACTTCTCAAGGATAATGTATTCTTCTGATTTCCTGAGTGTTAAGTCACAGGGTCCTTTGGCAAAAAAATCATAGAGTGCAATGACTCTGATTTTCTCTTCATACTCTTCAGGGATCTGTGGGGGTAACGCTGGTAGTGGCTTCCTCTTTGATTGCTGAACAAATTCCCTGTGATGCTGTTGAGAGAAAAAAATATCATAATTGGTTTACATTTTTTCCCTGCTTATTATTAGTATTATTATTAGTAGTAATATTTTATTTTATTTTTATTCTTATGTTGTCTCTGTGCCTGAAAGAAACTGATCACGATTCCTTCCCTCCCTATGCCTTATCATCCAGTCAGTTGCACTTGCAAGAAGGCAATAGAGTACAGTTGATTGCACATGGATAACTGTTACTCAAGCCAAAGTTACACTGACAAAATAAATAAATAATATGCATATAATGTGACTGTAGCCAAAATAGACCATTTCCCCCACCAATGTGCTTGCAGTTACATTAATGCGGTATGAATTCTGGGACAGCTCCTCAGCTGATGTAAATCAGAATAGCTCCATTGAAGTCAATTGAGTTACACCAGCTGGGTTTGGAGAACATTGCATACATGCTTATCAGCAGGAATATAAACATTTTGTTTTGCATGAACATAGGGCCTGGTTTTGCGCTCGGTTACACTGTTGTAAAGTTGGGAGGAACTCATCAAAGTCAGTGGAGTTAGGCCAAATGAAAGTAAGACCATACTCAGGTCCTTCGTGTCTGGAAAAAATACATAACAATGTAAATCTTCTAAATCTTTGCACTCTTATTAAAATACTCTTTACAATATTTATATGATGTATGTATTACTGCAACTTTAAAGATTTAGCAGGGAGTAGTTACACTAGTGCAGTGGTTCTCAAATTTTTTTTTTCACAGACCACTTGAAAATTGCTGAGGGTCTCAGCGGACCACTTAATGATCTTTCCAAATGTTATTTGTACCGTTAGCTAACTATTGTGAAGCGCTTGGACAAAAGCGCTATATAAAAAACCTTAATAATAATTAACATTTTTTTGTTCTACAAATAAAAGCACACAACTCATATTTTAATATCAGTAGTCTTACCTTTCTACTGCGATGGATGTGCCCTTTCTCCCCCATCACAGCAGCCACATAGCTGAGTCTGGGAAGGAGGACCGTCTCTTCCCAGCAGCTGGAATCCTGTAGCTGGGGAAAGTCGCCTCTTTCTCTGGCCGCCGCAGCCCTGCACGTCCCAAATTCCCTCCACCTCCTCTATTCACCCCACTGCCCCCTCCCACCTACCCCCTATTTCCCCAAAGGCCACCACCTCACCTTACATGTGTGTCTTCTCCAGGGTCCAGGCATCTAATTAGTGGAGCCATGCCCTTCATTTTCTTGTGTGCAGCCACCCAGGCACGCACATTAGAGGGAACTATCCACATTTTTGAGAACCTCTGCACTAGTGCCTGCTCTGGCATATATTCAGTGTCTGGGCTTGGATATGTCACTTAACCTCTTTGTACTTCAGTTTCCTGAATCTGTATGATTTTACTTACTCTGTGCTTTTGGGTAGACACATAGGAGAGCTGTTGTGACATTGAGTATCCAGCCATCAAGTCTACGTCATTGTCCAGGCTCAATTTTGTTCTCACTGCTCTAATTTTGGAGAATAAAAACAGTGTTTGTGAGAATATATATCACCAAACAGATTAGCTGTGGGGGAGGGAAAAGGTCTGTAAATATTTACAAATTTCAGCAGATTTACTGAAAACTGAGGGATTTTAGAACCTTTTATATGTGACTAGTTTGAAAGCAAATGACTTATTTTGATTAGCTTAATTACTGGCAAGTTGAAGCTAAAATTTGATTTACCTTTTCTGCATTGAACAGCAGCAGCAGCAAAAAACAGACTGGATGGTGTGATCTGAAAACAAGAACATTTTCTATATTTTTAGTACTGTTTTTGGTTTACTGCATTGAAGTGTGTAATAGGTTCTCTACCACGGACTTGCTGTGAGACTCTGGGCTAGTCACTTGGGACCAGATTGTGGAACATTTACTCATGGGAATAGTCCAATTGAAACCAGTGGAACTACTTAAGTGAGTGCTCACCAGCATAAGGAAGGATTCCACAATTGAACCCCTAACCTTTCCGTGCCTCAGTTTCCTCATCTGTTGAAGTTATCAATGCTTTCCCACTTCTGTAAAGCACTTTGAGATCCACAGATGAAAAGCACTATACAGGTGCTAAGTATTGTTCCTATTTACAGATGGATAAATTATTAACCACAGTGAGCAGTACAATAATAAAATGCTGATTAGGCTATTTTTTCTTAATGAATACATAGCACCAGAAGAGCCTCTGATGTTATAAATGTCCTCTTGTGAGGTGTGAAAAATCTGCAGAACCAATCTGGCATCTGTACATATTTTTTATGTTGAGCTCCCTATTCATGTTTTACCTGTAATACAGTCTTGCTTGTAGTTAGTCACCGTTCTTGGCTAGGATTTAAGAGAAACCCTGTGTGGTTATACTAGATTGTTTTAATCAGTGCGGAAGCTAGACATCCAAGGAGAGCTACAGATTCCTTCTGTATGCAGCCACCTTTATATCCTTCACAATTGAGTCCTGTCTCTTCTCTTCCACAGAGGACACTACATTCTTGTCATTAGAAGATGCTCTAAAGCCACATATTAGGTAGTGTCCTTCCCTTAGGACTGAGTATTTTTCCAAGTTTATCTTTCATGCATGTTCTTTTCAAAGTCACACTAATGTGTTCAGTTTTTTTATTCCCTCTTCACCATTTTTGGTTTGTTATGCCCCCCATCTGGGATGATGACCCAATTTACATGTGAGGGATTTGGATGAAATATTTCAGTGTAAGTAATAAGAAAATCCATTCTCTATATAGTCTAAGTCTACATAAGAGAGGAAGTATAGTATAATGGTTAGCACATAGGCCTCTGAGTTAGAGCTCTGGAGTGTTAATCCTGGCTCTACCATGTTTTCACTGTGTGAGCATGGGCAAGTTACTTATAAGTTAACCTCTCTCTGCTTCATTTTATCCATCTGTAAAATGGAAATAGGACATTGTAAGAATTAAGCAATGTTTGTAAAAGAGCTTTGGCATCTTTTGCTATATAATCTCAGTGCATATCATTATTATACGTCTTTCAGGTACAGAAGCCTTCAAAACAAGAGGTCAAATCTGATCTCAAAAGAGTTAGTCATGCATTCCTATTTATCTTGTATCACAGCTACTATGTTTACGCAATTCCTCGTATACTGCTTGCAAATGAACAAGTGGAGAGAAGAGATCTAAAGGGGTCAGCTGCAGCAAGATAATTGACCTTTATTCGACCTAATTTCTGGATGGATGACTCCTGGGGTGGGAGAGGAGCTTGAGCCAGGTTTCTTGGTTGGAGATTGCATGACCTTTAGGCAGCTGAAAGAGAAGGGAAAGTTAGGCAGCTGATATATAGCTGGGTGTTCCCATAGCCACTAGGTTGTGGGTGGTTTAGGCAGCTGTTTTGGAACTGGAGGAGCTGCTTGAGTTGGAGTCATTTTAAAGATGAGTATATGTTAGCATAGCACCGCAAGGAAGTTTACTAAGAATCTGTGTACCATAGCATTCAAAAGGTTAAGTAGTCTTATTATACCTGGTGAATTATTTGACCAATAAAGATATATTCAGTATTTAACAAATCTCACATTATAAAAAGGGAAAGAGAATGGCAAAGTTCAGGGAGATAAGATCAAAATTAGTTCTTAGTCAGAAGAGGAAGAAACCTGTGGCTTATGCTTGTTTTGCTTTGAAAAGTTACCAGTGAAGCTTGTGGGGGCAATTTGCCATAGACCATGACATCCTGTGAAGAGCCTACAGTGTGGGACTTTGACAAGCCCATTTTAATCACAAGATATCATAAACTGCTTGATAAAAGTTTCCAGTGACGGCTATGGAAAATATGAGGATTGGAAATGCCCAAACCAGCTGACATTAACTTTTTTTTTTTAAAGAAGCCAGACTAAAAAAGCTATGTGCAGTGTGATAGGTTTGTTGCATTACTTTCAATTGTTCATGAAGCTATCACCTTGCCATTTAAAACTGTTGCTATTTATCTTTGCCAGAACATGCTTTCTCCTACTGGTGCTTGCTGTAATTTCTAGTTTATTTTCCAGACAAGCAGCTATAAACAAGAAAAGAGTGTTTGCAACTTGCAGTATCTTAATATCACTGGTCTATGATTCCCTCTGAATTTCTTCTTTTGAAGGTAAAGTCTGAAATTGTATTGAATTAATTACTGGAATGGTGTTAGATGGCAGTGTGGCATTCCAGGTGCTGACTTTTGAATGAGGTGAACTGACATTTGTCCATTAGAGATATCAAGGTATTTTTCATTACCC